GTGATAGAGAGAGAGCTTTTACCCAACATGTCCCAGTTCCCTATAACCGTTCCCACATTCATCTAGATGTGACCCGACTCTTCGGCTTGAATGAAGGCCGCTCATTTCCTAACCACAACAAGCACATTCAGCGCCTCGGGCCAGCGCAGCTCAGCCAGTCGCGAAGTAAAGCCAGCAAAGACACAAAAAGTGGAGGTGGAAAAACTCAAGTTTGCGAGCACACAATAAAACAAGTGTATCTGAACAGATGTTGGCTATTTTTAGCAGACATTAAGAGATCCTGATATCCAAGTGATCGTACGTAACCACACGCTCGCTGTGATTACTACATATGATATATCCTGTCTGCATGTACGTCTGGAAGAAATGCTAATTATTTGTTGTAAACCGCTGAAGGCTGGGATATCTTGAATGGGTTGTGATGATATTAAAAATAAGTTTTAATGGGTTTGATTAGATATTATATAACTTGTATTCAAGTGCTATTCAACTGCCTGTAATATCCATAAATTAGCTTTTTTTGTGACTCATGATTTTATGTTTTTGATTTGCATTATGGGACTTTGATCTTTCTTCCAACAACAATTATTATTAAGTTAAAAAGTGACTTTTATTAACATTTTAAATTTTAATTTTAAAGTGGTATATTGAGTTGGTGTTGTATATTACACTACAAAAACCTTAATAAACTGTCAGTACATTTTCTGTTATTTAAAAGATGTATTTCTCTATAAATTTTATCATATACATTGTATTAGGGTTGCACAATATTGGAAAAATCTAACATTGCAATATTTTGTTTTTCTGCGATATACACTCACCGGCCACTTTATTAGGTACACCTTACTAGTACTGGGTTGGACCCCCCTTTTGCCTTCAGAACTGCCTTAATCCTTTGTGGCATAGATTCAACAAGATACTGGAAATATCCCTCAGAAATTTGGTCCATATTGACATGATTTGTCGGCTGCACATTTATGATCCAAATCTCCTGTTCCACCACATCCCAAAAGTGCTCTATTGGATTGAGCCCTGGTGACTGTGGAGGCCATTTGAGTACAGTGAACTCATTGTCATGTTCAAGAAGATGATGGGTACAACATGGTCCTAAAGAAATGGACATGGTCAGCAACAATACTCAGGTAGGCTGTGGCGTTGACACGATACTCAATTGGTACTTATGGGCCCAAAGTGTGCCAGGAAAATATCCCCCACTTACACCACCACCTCCAGCCTGAACCTTTGATACAAGGCAGGATGAATCCATGCTTTCATGTTGTTGATGCCAAATTCTGTCCCTACCAGCCGAATGTCGCAACCGAAATTCATCAGACTAGGCAACATTTTTCCAGTATTCTATTGTCAATTTTGGTGAGTCAGTGCCAATAGTAGTCTCAGTTTACTGTTCTTAGCTGACATGAGTGGCACCAGGTGTGGTCTTCTGCTGCTGTAGCCCATCCGCCTCAAGGTTAGACGTTGTTGTGCATGTGGAGATGCTCTTCTGCATACCTCTGTTGTATATTGCATATACTGTTATGTGACTATTACGAACACAGACATTGGTGGTGAAATTATATATTGTGCATTTTATAGTACTAAAATGTCATTAAAAGTCACTTTGTTAAACTGTAGAGTTAAATTTTCAACTTAAAAAATCCACAGATTAGAGATCAACATCCAATAATGCAATTCACAACCGGAAATAAAGCGAAAACACTTAGAAGATTTAACATTGAATGACTTTTACTAACTAACGTTATCAAAAAACAATATATACTGTAATAAATTTATTATTATTATTTTTTTAAATGTCTCAGCTTTGTTTCGAATCCTTTTTTATTTATTTAAAAATTTTTTGGCTACGTTGTTGTCGTGTTACAAATACAGAAACAGTTAATTAACAGATATTTTTACAGTGTGGTATATATTTCAGAACTGCAATTTGTAAATAATTTTAAGTAAAGAAGCATTTTCCTAGTTTTTTTTACAGTTATTTTAGAATGAATTGTTCTAAATGTTAAATTTAGAAGTAATTGTATCTATGACTCTCTCCATGTTATATAAACACGGCTAAATTACAATACTCGCATTGATTCATAGACATAAAATATACTCACGACTTGATAAAGAAATGATAAATTTGGAGAACATTAATATATATTAATTCTTTACTGTGGAAGTCATGGTATTTTATTTATTTTAGTGTCTTTACTGTCACTTTAGATCAAAATAATGGATCTTTACCGAATGAAAGTATTTATTTCTTTAAAAGTAAATCCAGACTTCTGAACAGTAAAGTACATCAAGACTTTCCAACAAGCCTAAAAAGAGGTTTTAAAAAAATGGTTCTGTTCCTCATTTTGTCAACTCTCCCACACATCACAGTTACATGCACACGTTCTGACATTTGCATGCGTACAAGACGAACACACGCACACATACACAGAGGTAAGTCTCTTTGCAATCATTTAGGTCAGATATCCGTGTGCCTCGGGCTACGGGCCAAGCTGCCTTAAAAAATCAAATCAAACCGATCCGTCTCATACCGGCAAAGGATTGAGGGATTTGGAGCGTGTAAATCTTAAAATCACATAAACGGCCATTAAGGAATGTGCCAGCTGAAAATGGGCTGAGATAAACACACGCTAAACTGAACAATAACCCCCTTTTTTTTAAGTGGTTCAATGATACTAATAACATCCATGTAAAGGGCCGTCAACAAGCCTTCCTTCACAGAAATGTTTCCCTTACTCACTGTAGAGGAAGAGTACAAATGTAGGCCTTGGAGAGACCACACTATGTGTTGAAAATGTATGTGCGCAGAATTATTAACTATTAAGGAGTATATTAACTAATATTTGTATATAGCATTTACTTATTTTTCCAGAGCTTTCTCGTTTACTGTTCCTAGGTGGTGGTTTAATGATTCAAACCCAATCTGAAGTACATAATCCTTAAATACTGTATTCAATAGAGTAATAGAGTACTCAGGAGTATTAAATAGAGTATTCAAGAGATGACTGAAAATTTTCTAAACTATGTCTGAGAATATATTTACATGACAAGAATTTAGCCCAAAAAATATTAAAGTTTTTCGCTTGCATTTTAAAAAAGGTTTTCTAAGACGCTATTCGTTTTCGGGTGTTTACAAAGACATGACAATGGCAGCATTTTCAAAGACATCCACTTTAAATAAAATTTTCAGATCTATGCATATACAGTCACTAAAAGGCTGTTGTCATGTAAACAAGCTGGCAAAACACAAAAAAGGTTCCCATTTTTGGCTAAAACAGTTGGCTCCTGGAACTTAGTTTATTCGCCAAACAACAAGAACGAGTATATAGCAATCAATAACTTTTCCAAAAACTTCTCGTTCACTGTTCCTTGGTGGTTGAAACCCACTCTGAAATGCATAATCCTTAAAAGTGTTCAAGAGATGGCAGAAAACTTTCTAAACAATGTCTGAGAATGGTTTTACAGGACAACAATATTGCCAAAAAAAAAAAGGAAAAATTTTTTTCTATTGCATTTAAAAAAGGTTTTCAAAGACGCCATCATTTTCAAACTTTCGGTTTTGGGTGTTTACACAGACATGGCAATGGCAGCATTTTCAACAACTGCCACTTTGAATCCTGTTTTCAGATCTATGCATTTACACTCACAAAAACACTGTTGTCATGTAAACGAACAGGCAAAACAAAGCTTGCAGTTTTTGACTGTAAATGTCATGTAAATGTCTCCTGAAACTTTGTTTTTTTTCGCATATCAACAAAAATGAATATATAGCGTTCAATTATTTTTCCAGAAACTCCTCATTCACTGTTTCTTGGTGGTTGAATGATTCAAACCCAATCTGAAATAAATAATCCTTGAAAGTTTTCAGGAAATGGCTGAAAACTTTCTAAACAACGTCTGAGGCTGTTTACACGTCAACCATGTTGGCAAAAACTGGCTTTCTCTTGTGTTTTAGAAAAAGCTCCTAAAGTTGCCATGGTTTTCAAAGACTTCCATTTTCGGGTGTTTACACACGAACTGGCAAAACACATCAAATTTTTTCCATTTTTGGCAGAAAATGTTGTCATGTAAATGGCCCCTGAAACAAGGTGTTTATTCGCCTAGCATCAAAAATTGGTATTTCAAGAGTTCACACTTAGCTGATGATTGATTATAAAGCGTGTATGGCATGCTGTCCCAGGAGAGAGCCCTGAGCTCATAAGATCCTTGAGCCTGGGGCTGGCTCCCGTTTGCAGCGTTTTGAGTTTGAGCTCAGGTAGGTCTGGGCTGTGTGTGTGTAAGATGCATATCTGCTGTTGGTAGTAATATGAAGTAAATCCACACTTTGATAATGAAACTTTAGCAATGACTTGAGGAACAACAACACTACCACATATTCTGCCGTTGTCGTGTATGTTGGTTCATGCTTGCCTTTAATCTAAACTTCCCTAAACACGTACTACACATGACGTCATCGCTTTCAAAGACTTTCGTTTTTTGGGTGTTTACATGGACATGACAACAGCATTTTAAATATCTTTATGCATTTTCAGTCATAAAAAATGTTGCTGTCAAGTAAAACGAATAGGCAAAACGCATAAAAAGTTTCCCGTTTTTGGCTGAAAATGTAGTATAAATGGCCCCTGTAACATTGTGTTTATTCGCCTCTTCATGACAAATCGATTTTATCGCTCATACGCGTCTGTTAAATGAGTAAGGACATCTTGTGTGGTAAACGCTCTTGCCAAAGCATTTAACACATTTCCATTCCCATCAACTTGATTTGTTCTTTATTTTTTGAGGGCTACATTATTCAGTCGCCTTCCCAGACGAAAACAAGGAAAAGATATCTTGGGAGACAATGCCGGAGGCTGCAATTCCCCCGGGTGGGATCAGTTGAGCATTTGGCTCCTTCTGCATAGTGTTACAGCTGGCAAGGGAGGTGAAAACTGATCATGAATCAGCACCTGAGGTAAATTCTTGAAAGAGAGTGGCAATAAACTTACAGATGATGTGATAGTCCTTCCCTCTTAAGAACTCCAGGCCCCACAGGTTGGGGCTGAACTCTTGAAACTTGAAGGTGAATTTGACGTCCTGGTCCGGCTTGTCACAGTTGAGCAGTAACATGTCGCTTTTAGTAACATGGCAGGTCTCGAGTTGTTCTTTGGGAACAAGATAGACCCGGAAGTATTCAATGTTCGTCTGCTCAGTGGAGCCTGGCTTGATTCTTGGACACACAATGTCCATTTTGTCTCCGATCTGAGGGTATAATACTACACCTCTTCCTGGGACAAACCTGTGGGGAACAAGGTGATGTTAAATATCTTATAGAGTTACAGAAATGGAATAAAACAAACTGATTAGCATGCATAATAATGAATTAACTCTCAATAGTGTATTCATGAGGCGTGAGAACTTTAAAGTTGTGTTTGGAGTAGTCGGTTTATCCCCACAGCAAAAGCGTTGGTGTCTGGAGGATCATTTTAAATAAGAAAACCAAGTTGTCGTTCTCTAAGAAACATAAAATATTTTAAATATTGCATCAATTTTGAAAATGTTGTCGTGTAAAAATTTTATTTTTAAATAAATAAAAAAGGATCCGAAGCAAAAAAAATAAAAAATAATATATTTATTACAGTATTCATTTTTGATGACGTTAGTTAGTAAACGTCATTCAATGTTAATTTGTCTGAACACACAATGAATAAGCTAAGGTTAACAAGCAAAACTTTGTGCTTTGTAAAGGCGCGTCATCAAGCCTTCCTTTACATAGATGTTTCCCTCACTCACTGTAGAGGAAGAGAACAAATGCAGGCCTCAGAGAGTCTTAATTAAAAAAAATTGTAAACATGTATGTGTGCAAGATCATTAATTAAATGTTTATAAACTAAACTTTGTATTTAGCATTCAATTGTTTTTCCAGAAACTTCTCGTTCACTGTTCCTTGGTGGTTGAATGATTCAAACCCAATCTGAAGTACATAATCCTTGACAGTATTCAAGAGATGGCTGAAAGCTTTCTAAACGGTGTCTGAGAATTTATTTACATGACAACAGTTTAGACAAAAAATTTCCCTTGAGTTTTAAAAAAAGTTTTCAAAGATGCTATTGTTTAAAGTGGTGTGTTTGGAGCAGTACGTTTATCCTCACAGCCAAAGCGTTGGTGTCTGGTGGTTTATTTAAATAAGAAAACCAAGTTGTTGTTTTTTTAAGAAACTATTATTTTTTATTTTAACTTTTCTATATATTATATTAGAAAAAATTATATTTTAAAGATCATATCAAATATCAATGTTGAAAATGTTGTCATGTAAATGGACCTGTTTTTATTCGCCTAACAACAAAAGAGTATTTAGCATTCAGTTATTTTTCCAGAAACTTCTCGTTCACTGTTCCACGGTGGTTGAATGATTCCAACCCAACCTGAAATACATAATCTTTAACAGTATTAAGAGATGGGTGAAAACTTTCTAAAACATGCCTGAGGCTATGTTTACACCAAAAAATGGAAAAGGTTTTTCTTTTTTTTAGGGGAATCTATAGTGGCCGAGAGAGCTAAACATGCTGCAATTTAAGAAAAGATGTGCAATTACAAAAAAAAAACACCAGCAAATTGAGAAAAGATCTTCATCAGTTTGACAGCACACATGCTGCAAATCGTCACAATGCAAACACATTTTTAAAAAACACGCTGCATTTTCACACCATGCAAACAATTAATAAAACGCTCTACATTTTCTCACAATGGAAATGTTTCAAGGAGACCCCAAAACGTGATTGACCATTTAGGTTAAGGTTATTTAGGCTTATAAATACTAAAAGACACAGGAATTGGAATATTAAAATAAATAAACAAAAACATCATGTTTCAAAGATCATCTACAACTTCACTAAGCAATAGGCTGTGTCCGAAATCACATACTTCCATACTATACAGTACGCTAAAAACAGTATGCGAGCTGAGTAGTAAGTCTAAATTCATAGAATTTGAAAAACAGTATGTGAGAAGTACCCGGATGACCTACTACTTCCGGCGAGATTCTGAAATGCGCATCAGATTGATGCTACACTATCCCATGATGCACTGTGAGAAATTCATGAATGGGAGTGAAGCAACTGAAGTGATCATGAAAAAATGGCAGATGTAGTTCATCCGAGTTCTATTCATACTGCTCACATTCATACTGTATAAAACGTACTTATCTAATGGCTGAGTAGTACATTTAAATTTAAATGCAGTACCTACTGAGTATTAGGCAATTTCAGACGCAACCATAGCCATAGCACAGCGGCGTCCGTCACATTTTTGGGTCTCCTTGAAACAATCCCTTGTGTTTCGTTCTTTTTGTTTTGTGAGAAAATGTAGCGCGTTTTATTAATGTTTGTGTTGTGGGAAAATGCAGCACTGTTTTTAATGTGTATGCATGTTGAGGATTTGCAGCATGTGTGCTGTCAAACGGATGAAAATCTTTTCTTAGTTCGTTGGTGTTTTTTGTAATTGCATGTTTTCTTTAATTGCAGCACGTTAAGCTCTCTCAACCACCGTAGCAATCCAAAACAGAGACATTTATTAATAATAATAATACATTTATTAAAGTATTTATTCATTTTTGTTAGCTAGTTCAATTTTCCAAGTAAAAGTTCAATATTCATTCTTCTTAACATTAGTCCATTAATGTCAACAGCACAACTTTGTGTTTTAATAACGCAGTAAATTATAACTAGGTGGAATCTGCGGACATTTTTTGCTATTTCTGTGCGGAATTTCGTTAAAAATCTGCAGATTTAGGCGGAATGATTTTAAGAGTACGATCACTAAAACCTTAATATTTATTATATGAAATAAAAAGTAATACCTTTATATATTTTATTTAATGTATACAATGCAAATCTAATTAGATCCACTTTATTTGATAAGCAAAAGCAAGTCTCTCATATAATATCTCTACTAAAAGACAGAAAATGTTACTTTACAAACTTTATTGTAAATATATCATATGAACATTTTCATATTAGTCAATAATATTACTGAAATTAATTTGAAAACTGAACAAAAATGAATTTACACAGGTAAATAAACAGAATCTGAAAATCTCAAAATGCTGTATGAGTATTGCTCATTCTTAGTTTGTGTTAGCAAATATATTAACTAAACTTAACTAATGGAAGCTCATTGTAACATGTGAGCACTATCTTTTAGTTAAACTACACAAAACAGCCACAATCGACCAGCCTCCATTTATTGCCACTTAAAGAAAAGTCTGTAAAAACAGCTTTAAAAAGTGAATTAATCAATTCATTAATTATGCATTGCATTGTGTTAAAGTTGTGTCAGTTAATGTCTGCCAATTCTCTGTCAGGACATTTTTCTACATTTTTTTTTCCTTTCCTTTACAGTGTAAAACAAGCAACGACTTAAATGAATTGAGACAAGCAATTTCCCTTTGGCTAATTTTCAGACTTCTGTCTCAAAGCAGAATGCAAATGCATCTAGAGCGCTTGGGGCTCACACACGCTTTTCTTTTTTCTTTGACTAATGTCTGCAACTTTGTAGTCTTCCTAATTTTTTTCCGCCATTACATACTTCCCTACTCTGTAATGCATTTGCGCAATTAACAATCACTCACTCCTGACCGCTCGCTGGCAGTCCTTTCGCTGCCCTCCATGTTTATTACAACCTCACCATGGCTTTTATTACGATGTAAAACAGCTCTGATATTGACCTTTGATTATTTGCAGATCCTCATTTTGAACTGACTACTCATTAAACACACTGATTCAATTGTAATCAGGCTTGTGGGCATTGGAATTACCCTTTTAAATCGTAAACCCACCATGACAAAGTTAGATGTGCTCTCATTCCCGCTCGCGCTTCCCTAAACGCCATAAGGCAGAATAAAAGAGTCACTTTCTAAGACCAGCTTCCATCCTCATAAAGTCATTAAGACCTGGAAAGAAAGGGACCCTCGAGGTTTTGCCAGGGGTCCTGAGAAGACAGGAAGCTTTAGTGCCCCTCCTTTCGCCCCCTGCCGCACCAACTTCTGTGTGGCTCTAGTGGAGAACAAACCCAGGATGGGGGTTGGATTGTGCCTTCATCCCTGTGCAGCTTTTGTCTGCGGAGCTCTGTGACAAAGATGACCCACTGAGCTACTGGAACTCATGAAAACCGATTACAACCTGCAGCAAAGCTCCACTACACTGCAGCTTAGCATCTTAAAAGAACGTTATCCTGCATCTAAACAAAACTGGGCTGATTTGAATACAGGTTCTCTACTGTGAAGCAACTGCCATGATGGTATTAAAGCAACCGGTTTCACTCGAGCGACCAAATTGAAGAATGTAAAAAAACATAAATAGACTTAACATTAAATGCACTTAATGACAGTACTGTAGTGTTTGGTAAAACTGTTAGCAAAGAAAATGTTTATCTATATAACTTATGCAAAACATTGCATTTTTTAGTTTAATCATAAAAAGTGTTCTCAAAAATGTCTAAATGCATTTTGTCTGAATAAGTTCAAACAGCCTCACAGCTGTGGGTTCACATGGGTTTCCTCTGGATGCTCCGGTTTCCCCCCACAGTCCAAAGACATGCGGTATATGTGAATTGGGAAAACAAAAACTGGTCTAAGTGTATGAGTGTGTGTGTGAATGTGAGATGTTATGGGTGTTTCCTGATCCTGGGTTGCAGCTGGAAGGGCATTCACTATATGCCGGAATAGTTGGCGGTTCATTCCTGATAAATTAGCAACTAAGTGCGTACTCACACTATGCTATATGAACCGTGCCAAAGGTAAACGCGTGTGTGTGTGTGTGTGTGTGTGTGTGTGTGTAAGACAAAGGAAAATGAATGAATAAATGAATGACTGAATGATGTTCAGTAAAATTGCTTGGCATAATCAAAAATTATGCAGTCAATAACGTTGAAATAAGTTTCGAAACATGCTTGGCGTAATAGAAATAGTGCTGTCACTAATGTTAAATAAAAGTGAAAATGCTGGCCTTATTCAGAAATAGTAATGTCAATAATGTCCAGATAAATTTGGTAAAAAAATCCTTGTCATAATCATGAATAGTGTTGTCAATAATGTTGAAATATTTTTTGTAAAACTTTTATTGATAATATTCAAATAAGTTCGGTGAAAATTCTTGTCATAATTATAAAAAGTAATGTCAATAGTGTCCAAATAAGCTTTGAAAAATGCTTAGCATAACAAAAAATAGTGCTGACAATAATGTTAAATAAAAGTGAACATGCTTGTCTTAATCATAAATAGTAATATTAATAATGTCCAAATAATCTTTGTAAAAATCTATGTAATTATGTAATTAATTTGTGTAATCATAATAACAATGAGAATGTCCAAATAATTTGGTCTGCCATCATAAATAGTCAAATAGTTTGGTGAAAATGTTCAACCATAATCATAAAATCGGTTGTCAATCTTTAGATACTTTTGGTGAAAATTCTTGCTATAATCATAAAAAATAATGTCAATAATGTCCAGACTTACTCAAAATGTTTGCCACAATCATAAACAGTGAATTAAATTTGTTGAAAATGATTTTCATAATCATAAATAGTGAAATTAATTTGCTGAAAATGATTGCAATAGTCATAATAAGCGATGAGATTGTCCAAATAATTTTGGTAAAAAATCAAGTGTGTCAAATAATTTGGCAAATATACTCGACCATAATCAAAAAATTAGTTTTCAATAATATTCAGATACTTTTGGTGAAAACTCTTGCCATAATCATTAAAAGCAAACTCAATAATGTCCAAATTTGGTCAAAATGTTTGTCGCAAATCATAAATTATAAATTTAATTTGTTGAAAATGGTTGTCATGATCATAGTGAAATTCATTTGATGGAAATGCTTTCCATAATCATAAATAGTAATGTCAATAGTAATGACAAATTTGTGCTGAACATGCAGTCTGTCTTCTTAAATAGTAGAAGTAATTTGCTAAAAATGCTCCACCATATTAAAAAAAAAAAAAACATGGTTGTCAATAATGTTCAGATACTTTTTTAGTGAAGATTCTTGCCATAATCATTAAAAGTCAATAATGTCCAGTTTTGGCCAAAATGTTAGCCGCAATCATAAACAGTAAATTCGATTTGTTGAAAATGGTTGTCAATCATAAATAGTGAAAATTATTTGTTGAAAATGATTGCCATAATCAAAAAGTGATAAGAATGTTCAAATAATTTTGGCAAAAATACAGTCTGTCATCATAAATAGTAAATTAATATGATAAAAAATGCTCCACCGTAATCTTAAAACAGATTGTTAGTAATGTTTAGATACTTTTGGTGAAAATTCTTGCCATAATCATAAAAAGTCAATAATGTCCAAATAAATTAGGTCAAATGTTTTCCGCAATCATAAACAGAAAATAAATTTGTTGAAAATGGTTGTCAAAAATCATAGTGAAATTAATTTGCTGAAAATGATTGCCATAGTCATAATTAGCGATGAGAATGTCCAAATAATTTTTACAAAAATGCAGTCTGTCTTCATAAATAGTCAAATAATTTAACGAAAATACTCGACCATAGTCAAAAATGGGTTGTCAATAATGTTCATATACTTTTGGTGAAAATTCTTGCCATAATAATAAAAAGTAAACTGAATAATATCCAAATTTGGTCAAAATGTTTGTCGGAAATCATAAATAGTGAATTAAATTTGTTGAAAATGATTGCCGTAATCATAAATAGCAACGAGAATGTGCAAATAGTTTTGCAGAAATACAGTAATGTAGTCATAAATATTAAAATAATTGGCTGAAAATGCTCGACCATAATTATAAATTGGGTTGTCAATAATGTTCAAATACTTTTGGTGAAAATTCTGTAATCAAAAATAGCATCGTCTCCAAACATGTTTGTTGAAAACGCAAGCCGTAATCATAAAGTTAATCACAGATGTTGTAAACATCCAAATTGTTGGTAAAAATGCTTGCCATACCCATACATAGTGGTTTCAATAATGTACAGTAAGTTTTGTTGAAACTGTTTGCCATCATCATAATGAAAAGTGACCAGTAGTATCCATAAAGCCCAAATAAGGTTTCCGTAAGTTCACCAAATAGCAGGAAGAGAGAATGTGGACCACTTTGGCAGCTGAGAAAACACTAGGATTTACGTTTTGGTCCCAGTTAAGAGCATTTCCCTTTCTTCCAGCATAGTACACTGAAACTATTTGTCCTGACCCTTGGGAACAGATGCATAATTGTCATAAGACTTTAGGAGACACACTTCACAGAGGAAAAAAAAGAAGCTCAGGCAAACGATCTCTCTATGGCAATCAGCGAGAGGCTGTAATCCACTCTTCAATTTAACATTTCTCAGCTTATAATCAGTCCTAAATTTAGGCTGTGGCTCAGCACTCTTACACGATATTAACCATGATGTAAGGTCTCCACAAGTTTGATTGCTCTAAGTGCAGATTCATCCTGCAGCTTTTCCTCAGAAAATACCAGGGTGCTTTGGGTTTGCAAGATATGACCGTATAATTTCTATAAATCATTGCGTTTACCTGCAATTTCTGACAGGGCGCGCACAGGATAATTAGCTAAATTGTGTAAATACACCTAAATTAACATTTACAAACGGTGGCAGTGTGGAAGCAAAGAATAAACCAACGGCTCTGTTTCGAGTTTGCATGGTGATCTTCTTGAAAATGAAATGATCTCACTGACTTGCATCTTAATGTTGCTGCCAATAAAGCATCATTGGAACTAATTCCCTGCTGTCTGAAAAGGTGGGTGGTCCTCCAACAAGATGCTACGGATTATGAATATATTTAGAGGGCTGAATTGTGTTTAGATGACTATGGCTTGGTATTAAAAATCAATGCAAGCATCAACAAAATAAAGGAAAAAGCAAATATACTTTTAAAATCAACAGTATTCTGTTGGTCTTTGCTACACGATAAGAACGCACAAGTAAGGTATTATTGGTTTTTGCTAATCTTGAGGGGTATTTCAGAGATCTTTTCTATCAATTGACATTATTTGAAGCTTCAATAGATATATTAATGAATATTAACTTATACAGGGTTGTTTGGTTAAGATGTTAAATGGAAAGTTCTCCCAAAACTGACAAATATGTCATCATTTTATCCCCCTTCACTTGATTGAGTTTCTTCTAAAACAAAACAAGTTATTCGGGAAAATGCTGGAAACCTGTACCCATTGACTTCCATAGTAGAACAAAAAAACAAATACTCTGGAAGTCAGTGGTTACAGGTTTCCTGCATTCTTCAAAATTCCTCCTTTAGCGCTCAACAGGAATAAAGAAACTCGTGAAGCTTTGGAACCACTTGAGAGTGAGCGCAATTTAATTTTTCATCACTCTGATTAAGTGGGAACTTATTTCCGTACATTTGAATTATTTCTCAGTTCTATCCCTGTTGAGTCTTAGAATCTTTTTAACAGCAGTGTGATGTACCAGCTACAATTTAATGGTAAAAAATATTTGAATTATTATAATTTAGCCATTTAAAGTCGTTAAAGCATATGACAAGAAAAAAGATACTGCGACTAGCAACAGCTGGATTACACACATCTGTCAAAAACAAGCATTAGTAAAGATTCCTATATTATTATTATTATTATTATTATTTTCATTAAGTTACGTGTCTCTATTGGGGCATTAATGAAACAGTATCTTGTGAAGAAACTGACCGGTTTAATAGTTATAGTTTAAAAGAAAAAGAAAATTTCTTTAAAAATTTAGCATTATTATCAGGCTCCTGTGTGCAGGTTCAGAAATTTCACTTTTACAGCAAAGGATAAGTCATTTTCATGGTCTATAAAGTGAAATAACTCAACATAAACAAAGGAGGCTGAGAAAAATGTTCATTAGAGGTTTTTGCATTTGAACGCTTTAAATATTTGCATAGAAACTAGTGTTAGATACTAATACTGTAATACTTTTAGAGTGTTTGAATAAAATAAATGCATTCTTTTTGTGTTAACTGTTTGATGCTTGTAGAAAAATCAAGATTAATGTTTGTACAAAAGTTTGTTTTTGAAGAATTTAAGAAACTTAATATAGGTACAACAATGTTAGCATTAAAACACAAGTTTCACTGAATAATTGTAACTTAAAATATTGTGTGGATTATTAGGATACGTAATTTTTTACTTAAAACAGGTTTGACGAACTGAAAACTACAAGTTGATCAAATTAAGTTGATGTTACTTGAAAGTGGCAGTCTATAGAACAAGCTAAAATGAGTTTGAAATACTGAACAGGCTGATGGAAATAGTTGCCTCAATTTTTCAAGTAAAACATACACAATATATTTTTAAAGTGTAGCAAGTAAAAAAACAGTACTGAGTAACATTGGTGTTGAAGAAATAATGTCAAAATTCTCCGTTTTCGGTTTACTCCTTTGAGTGTACTTACTTGGTGTTGGAAGTATTCCAATATATTGATTCTAAAACTGTTGATCGAGTCAGTTTTACCCGACAAGCGAACACGAAGAGACCAAATATATAACTCCAGACAGTCGCATCCATTGCGATGGAGAAACAGTTCAGCAGTCCGAATCTGATTAGAAGTGAGAGCTCCGCAGGCACTAAAACGAGCACAATCCGATGCTGTTAGTCGCTCTCATCTGCAGGATAAAACGTAATCATAAAATAAGAGCTCCTTCGCAACTGGCAATCTATAAAGTCAATTTAACACAACAGCCGGACAACGGGTGATAATCCATGTAAACAGGTTCTTTTGGCATTAATATGTCTCAACACGCATCCTTCATATGTAAACAGTTAAAAAGCGCAGGCTCCGCGGAATGGCAGCGTCGCTCTGAAACTCGGATGTTGAGGTCTAATCTAAAGGCAGGATCAGTGCTTCTCCTGTTCTTCGTCTTTGCATTCAACTCTGCCAGTCTTGGAGTGCCCTCAAGACGTGCTCGGAGACTTCTTAGGACAACCCCAGTGTTGGCTTTAGATCCCGCCCACCTTACTCACGATTGGATGACGGCAAATGATTGACATCTAGTCGAATCGTAACAGGAGTCTGGAAATAGTACGGCTACATTAAACAGACTACTACTACATGAGCACCAAGTTTACCTGAGCAGCAAAGGTCTAAATACAGTGTTTTATTTTAAACAGGAGACAGCATAGTGACACACTAGAGGGCATCCGAGAACTTAATAAACAAATATTAGGCTACAGTATTTTAGCAAATCGTCCCTTCAACAACTGTTAGTAGATCTATAAGGTTTGTATTCTATGGCTGGCCCGTAGCCAGCCTTTTTAAAAGGGTTGGACCTTTTTGCAGATATTCGAAGTCAATATTCTGCGTTTTAGCATTTACAACATTAATTTGTGCTGGATTAGTTTGTCGGATGGTTATCATCACACTTTTTTATGCTACAAAAATACTTTCTACAAGTGTTTATCATACTATTTATTTTGCTTACAAAACTTTTATTTACAAGATGTTACAATTTCATAAATGTAATCAGATTAGAATTTCAGAAATATGAAAAAAAATATTTATTTTTAAATGCTAATTTATTATCTTCAATCATAAAAAAATAAAACATGTTTTAAATTAAAAACTGCAACCTAAATATAGTCAAATAACAAACTGGCCAGCTCATTTCCTCTGTCAGAACTTGTCCATTTAAATAATATAAGCCTTCTTTTATTGGTTATTCTTCTTACAGCCTTATGATATTGGTTATTTTCACAATTTATGATGGCATACTGTCAAAAATGGAACAAATGAGCTCATATAGGGGCAAAGTCTTTCAAATGCCGGCTATGGGCCTGACAGTGTTTTTTTTTTTTTTTTTAATAACTAATTTAAGATGTTCAATAACGTTCCATTTACCTCCCTTTAAGAAAGAATAACCAAATGTTTGTTTAGTAAAAGTATAGTAACCATGAAAATTTATTATACCTTTTGTATAACCAGAGATTGACTAAAAATGCTGTGTTAAAAATAGGGTTATCATAAAAATGAGTTATTGCAGTTAAATCTGGGGCTTTACTATGCACCACTAACTTTATTCATAGTTTAGCCATGGTGTTTTGTATGAAAATATTAATAAATACGACAAAAACGGTTACTACAACAAAGCCATGGTTCGTTTTCGCAAACCATAATAATAAAGCAAACTTTTACGTTGATAATACAGTAGGAAAAGTTGCGATCTATTGCTAATATTTAGCCTGTAGTTAACTTTAATACTTTCCATTTCTGAAAGCATTGTTAATATCTTTGCTCGCTGTGATTTACACGAGCGCTAATTACAAATCAGAATTGCACTTAAACACTGTAAATAATCACGCGAATATGGTGGCGTGCGTTTGAAATGAATTAACTAATATTTTCTTTAATCTAAACCTGTATTAAAGCTTGTACTAAAGGCATTTCACACGAGCTTAATCCGCTTAGTCGTGTAAACCTCAAAAAGTCTTAATAATCTGTATTACTCATACGAGTGCGAGCCATTCCGTCATCCGTTTGATGCAGAGGGAAAAAAAAAGCAAAAATAAAAGCCTGACATGAATATTTCGGGGAAGAAATCAATGAACCATTTGTTAGAACAACTTTTGTTTATTGTGCTTTGCGTGTTTGAACAGGAATCAATGGGGAAAACTAACAGGTAAGGGATAATTGAATGTCGAGGTGTAAAGGTGTGATGCGTTTGCACTTTCATCGTCTGGTCTGCGAAATCAATTGTGTATTGGTCAAAACAAGGGGTGTCAAACAAACTATTAATTAGGTTGAAGATTGAAAGAATTAGGTGATGGTGACATCCAAAAATCAAAATGTTAACACGCTTAGTTATTGTCGGTCACATGTCTTGCAGACTTCAGCTTTTGCTTGTCAGTTTTTGTGCCATTCATCGTCTCTAATTTCTATTTGTTTTAATACTTGAGCTTAATCAAACTAAAATTTGGTTTGTGTCAGGAAAAACACATTTTTCATTAATAATTAATTCCAATTTAATTTGGGTTTATCCAATCATGCAAACATATTTAATATTAAATATGCAAGCAAGTATCAGAAACAGGACACATTCATGGATTTATTGGAGATTCTTGACATATCCTTGATAACTGGGTCAAATATTTAACCACAAACACAAACTCCGGCCAATCAGCAATCTTTCACTCAATCGCCTCTATAAAAGCATTTCATCACTAACATAGAACGCAGCTCATTGACATGCAACAACCAGGTACCCTTTCTTACAGCATCTCTTTACCTCTCGAGTCTACATTACTTGAAAGTATGTATGAGTGTATTAAAGTGAAGGTAAAAATGGTAAAAGGAGGTTACTGTTGTTTTATGATGCTTCTTGCTCGGACTGGTTACCTTTAAATCAGATCTGTGCTAATCAAAATAGAGGGATGGACTTCAAGTTCAAGCTGTTTCCCTGCCAAATTCATTCTACTTCCATTATACTATGAATAAACTATTAAAAAAAATAAAAGTACTTCAAATTTTCGGTAAGGAAAATCAGTTGTGGTCTTAAATTAGTGAAACTGGAATTCATATTGTACACTTGGATGAAAGAACAGGCCAGGCCGGCTCTTTTTCACTCTACTCGTGTCGTGCACCAAACGTGGTTGCAGACGCTACATGGAGGACAAGTGGAGGTTATCTATACAAGAGTCAGCAATACAAAACAGACAGTTAAAACCTGGGAGAAAAAACTTAAGGGTATTTGACAAAATGATTGTTCCCATTGTTCTGAGAATTTGAAATACCACATGAGACCTACGGAGAACTTATCGCCTCACACGGAGAGTGGTCTGGAGAAAGTCTGGAGAAATCCTGGCCACGTTGTTTTTGTCACTCAGAAGCCTTTAAAGAAAAAGAAAGTTTAGGCCTTGACTTCCCTTTCCCCAAAATCATCTTCTGTTCTTCCTTCTGCTGTTTCTGTCGCTCTTGCTCCAGCTTCATACGCTCCTCGTGTATTTTTCTTTGCTCTTCAACTATTCGTAGCTGGTCCTCTGCCTGTAAGACAGTGAAAAAAAGAGGAGTTTGTTAGTGTGGTAATCTAGAGGTACCGAAACCCAGTGTTGATACCTTTGCAAATAGAATGTACCCAATTATAATGCAGATTTCTGTGCGAATGAAATCAGAGGTCTGGAAAGTAGAAGATTGGAAACAAATCTTAATTTAAAAAAATAAATAGGCTACAAGCAGGGCACGACAGAATATGTGGACTTCTTTTTTTGGGGGGGGGGGGGGGGATTATAGATTTAATCTGGATTTATGTGAAATGATTTTGAGAACATAGGAGCTGAAAACTTTAAATGAAACAAAATACATCTTAGCTTTTATTTAAGGTATTACAATGTAAAGACAACAAAGTAGGTCTCTCATACTGTATAATACATCCACTAAAATAAAGAAAAACCCTACCTTAGCAAGGTATTATAATTATTTTAGTCAAAGAACATCTTTAGAAATGACAATTTCTTTATTTCTTCCTTTTCTTTAGGAAGAAAATACATTTCATTTAACTCATGCTAAATATTGCAAACAAAAACTACAACCTACAACATTTCAACAAAACTGTATATATTTTTGTTTCTCTGATTTTTTGCTATTTTTGAAAATTGTATTAAATATTTTTCATATAAATTAGAACATATAAATTTGGTCTACTAATTTTTGAACTATTAATATAAGTTATTTTGTTGGATTAGCTCCAGATTCGGCTTCAGTTCTGATTAATGTATATGCACAATTATAATATTGTAAAGCATCCAATAGAAAATATTACCTTAAATGAGAGATTGGTGGGGTGTGTACCTATATAAGCTGAGCACTATATATATATATATATATATATATATATATATATATATATATATATATATATATATATATATATATGTATATGTGTGTGTGTGTGTGTGTGTGTGTGTGTGTGTGTGTGTGTGTGTGTGTGTGTGTGTGTGTGTGTATGTATATATATATATATATATATATATATATATATATATATATATATATATATATATATATATATATATATACACATATATACACTCAACAATCTGTTAAAATTGGCACATTTTTGCTGTTTTGGGCTTAAAACTATTCAGTCCTAATACATATTACAAATATTGCACTGTGTTCTCTATTTATTTCCTATTTGACCAGTAACGTAAAAGCAAACAAAAATATATCTAAGGTCTCCAACAAACAATTTTACATCCATACACAGTCTCTAAAATGGTTCTTTCAAGGATATGGTCTATCTAAACCCCACCTTTGTAAAATACTACACTGCTCTGATTGGTCTGAGAAGGTTAGGTTTGTTGTGACTGGTCCACCAATTACAGCATGTCGCCAATTACCATTTCTCAATTTCAGCAATAATGGCATCAGGTCGGTTTTACCAATATCACCTAAAGCCCAAGCCTTTATTCTACGCAAGAGCATTTAAGATGAAATTGCTTTAATAGCACAAAAGTGTGTTCTCATGTGAATGTCAATACCACTAACAAGCAGACAGTTATGTACAGTAACTGTTTATAAAGCTTACAAGCATTGCAATGTTTTGGAATGCTAACAATTTTGCAGCAGAACAAATGAATACAAAAACCAAGACAATTTACGCAAGAATTCTCACAGGACATTGTCATAATATATTAAGAAATGCGTTTATAATCACTACTCCCACGCTTTGATTAAAAGCTTCAAGCTGTTCTCTGTGATGTTTAATATAACGTACATGAGCGTTTTACTTACAGTTCGTTTCATTTTGAATCTTGCATCATCTGTGATGTGTAGGACATTCATGACAAACCGAATTTTGTGAAAGCTGTCTAGAAGCGACCGCATCTGTCGGCTCACTTTCACATGTTGACAGGACAATCTTGACCTTTATAGCTCTGAATTGAGAAGATCTCCTATATAACGTCTGATTTGTAAGATTCATCAGGACCAGAAGTAAACACTGTTCTTCTTTTGGTTTAAAGTGCAATTGAGAAGGAAAAACTCCACAAAATAAAACATACTGGAAGTAGTCCATCCAGTGCAGAGGCCATTCATTCTATATGAGAAGACTGTAAGATGCCAATGGAGTGCTAATTAAAAAGGCTTCAAGGTGCTTAAAACTTTTACAGTACTACTCACTTCATACAGGAATTCTTAAGTCACATCCATGACACTAATTTGTGCTCAGTGCAGAGTAGATTATATGTAATCTGGATTACGTAGCCAGATTAACAAAAATAAATCTATACTTGTAATTAGATTATATTACATTTTAAAATAGATTTAATCAGATTAACTTTTTTGTGGAATAAATGATTACAAATTATATAATCGTGTAATATTGCTGATTTTTTGTTAAAATATCCACAATATTGAATGGTCATTTAAAAGGATATGGAAAATTAACTTAATTCATTTCATGTCATGGTTTTATCTTATTTAACTTAAAAAAATTACATATACATACACAGAAACACATATATAATATATACACACACACACACTACACACTGTAAATGTCTATATATATATATATATATATATATATATATATATATATATATATATATATATATATATATATATAAATAATATACTTTAAATGTAATAGAAGTATTATTATTTGCTAGTGGTTTTGATTTTATTTGCTGCCATTTATCATTTTAAAACTAAATTATTATCAAAAAATAAAATTAATTGTAGTTGGAAAAATTTTATTAATGATTCAGTGGCCTATTTTTTAATTATAAATTGCACTTATTTTATTATTAGATGCATCAACATGAATAAAGGAAGAATAAATGTAGGATTGGGGGCAAATACATTTTAATGGTTGCTTGTCACCACCTACTGGGGATCTTTTGAATTAACAACTTACTCTTTTACTCCATTTTTGTATCACTATGGCAGACATTGGTGTTTAAATCTGAATTATAAACTTACACAGTTCAGTACAACACATCTGTGAACATGTCAAGGGTTTAATAAATATTTAGCAATAAGACAGTGTGGGTTTCTGAATCCAGTTTTTAATCAAATAAAGCAATGTGTTTAAATTCATTTTTCTATTAGTATTTAATTAAAACCTATAGATTTTTTAGCAACTCATGAACAGCTCCAAAATTTGTAGCTTGCAAAAAATTTCCCTTATACTCACCAAGGCTAAAATTACATGTCAAAAAAATAATGCATAATGCAAAAAAAAAAAAAAAATAGTCAAATTTAAAATACGATTTTCTATTTTACAGGGTTCATCCACATTTTTACTACAAACTTCCATGACTTTTCCAGGACTTGAATCAATTTTCATGACCTAATGTTTCATGTAATGTCTATGTATACGTGGCAAATCATAAGAAAAACAATGCACGTATAAATTTATTACAGCATATCATAAAATCTCTTTAGTTTCAATAATTTTTTTATCTATATAAAATAGATGACGCTTACACAGTAAAACTACTTCTATTGTAAAGCAGAGATCACACTGCACTTTTCGCTCCTTGGCCTTTATTCATAGGCATGCAAATGCAGCAGACCAGAAATGCAAGCAAATTTCACTGCATTTGAAAGATCAAGCTTTGTGAATTCTTATCACGTTACTGCATTAGACCAATAGAAGATCATTTAAATTAAGAAATTTAAAATATGGAGCAATCGCTTACTTTTATTAATGTATAATCATATTGTTTAAAACCACCCCTTTTCACAGCGCCATACGACAGAATTTAAGACAGAAAGCTATAGTGTGACCGCAGCTCAAGTCGCTTAGAACAAAAACATCTGCTAAATGTCAATGTAAATGTCATTTTCATGATTTTTCCAAAATCTTGTGGGTTTTTCTGTTTTTCCAAAAAAATGTCCAGGCCTGGAAAATGCCACGTCAAAGTTCCATGACTTTTCCAGGTTTTTCATGACTGCATGAACCCTGATTGTAAATAAAATTCAATCCAGTCACACCAAAGCAGAATTTCCAGCATCATTTTTAAGTTTCACATTCAGAAATCTTTCTATTATGATGATTTGGCACTTCATGTTATTGTGATTCTTAATAGTTTTGTGAAAATTATTATTTTTTTAGGTGTTCAGTGTTTCCGCTAGGATTTTTTCTAGCTGTGGCGGCAGGTCTTTTTTCCACACAAATCTACCTGTAGCGTTATTTCAATGACAACTGTCGTGAGCGCATTATTAGAAGTCGAGATTGCATTATGTAATAGTCTTCAGCATGCAGATCTCTTTGCTTGCGTGCCAATTTCCTCTGCTCGTGCACAAAACGTCTTGCATGCCTCCTAAAATATAAGCCGCTTCAAGAGCATGCAGATCTTGTGCTCCTCTCAAATAATTGCTGCTGAAATGTGATTTAGTGCGTTTATGTAACGAGTATGTCTCCAGCATTTATTAGATTTGCTAGGAATATTTATGAATGTCTCCCTAATAAACCTACAGATCGATATTCATGCGTCGTGAAACGGCTATACATCGTGTTTGCTAGCCCCACGCATCACGCGCCTGTCAGCCAGTCAGCACGTCACCTTAAAGGGTTAAACAAATGACACACAGCACTACTACGTTTACAGAGAAGTTTGCGCTGTTACAATTCACTTAATCTTTAATACATTTTGGTGCGATCATTACCCGCTATATTAAAAATAAAATGTTTTGAATGAGAAGCTATAATGTATCCGTGGAGGGATGAATTTTGGCGTGATGCCGCGCCATGGAAGAATGAATGTAGCGGAAACCATGGTGTTGATTTTCCAAATAATAGCATTTACATGAAATATACATTGATTTCTTAACAATCTATACATTTTCACAGCCTCTTTAAATCATCCTACTAAGTAATAAATCTACTTTTTAACATCTTTAAAATGTATTGCTTCAACTATAATCTTTCTTTGGTTCAAACGAAAAATCTCACATGAATTTTACCAGTGATCATTTTCTCATTCTCTAGCACTACTCACAAATCTGACACCATTTGATCCTACTTTAAACAACACATACCAGTTTAGCTTGAGCGTCGGCTATCTTGCGATTGTTGTCCACCAGGATCTTCTCCAGTTCTTCGCGTTTGGATTTCTCTTCCTCCTGCAAACGCAAAACGCTTCAATGAAGTTGCAGTAACCGAAATACTAATCATCAACATGAGAAAACACATAAATGATAAAGAAGATACAATCAGCTCACCAGAAATGGGTAAACCTACAGTACACTTGTCCTTCACTCACCAATAAAATTCCTAGAGAAGTCAGTGTCAAACTGGGTATATGTTCTTGTTTTTTGTTGTTGTTTTATTGTGCAGTGTACCACCAATCAGCAATGGAGGGTCTTTAAAGCTACTGACCTGTGTTCTCGGTACTTCTCTACTTACATCTCACTCTCAGAAAAAAGGCCACACAGTGAAGTGCCGTCTGAGCAGCAGTCAGCTCAAATATAGGAGTATAGGAGGAACACAAGCGTGAACAACTTTCATCACTTATATTTAGAAGCAACTGAGACGAATAGTGAAGTTCAGGCGGATAGAAACAAAGACTTGTGGAACTCATGAGCTGTTTGTTAAAGAAAGCTGTCAAGGGTGAAAGATTCAATTTAGGGATACAATAGACAGTATATCTAATACAATATAAAGAGCAGGGCCTAAAATGAACACCATAAAAGCACCAAATATTCGTTTAAATTGTCATTAATTGTCAGTAATTGAATCAATTCAAACAATGATTGTGATATTATCGATATACAAATGATCAAACTGTTGTTGTTATACAAGTATGTAATCTGATAGACTGTGTTTCACTGTAATGTTTTCACCACATTAAGTGTCTCTAAGCGGTTTGGATCACATTAAATGGAGAACCTCTTTCTTGCAGGTACTTTTGAGTCACTTACAACGAGTGTTGGAGAAAATTACTTGGAAAGTAATGCTTACAATATTGAGTTACTCCACAAAAAAAGTAACTAGTTTCGTAAATTTCTTTTTATGGAAAGTAATGCTTTACATTGCTTTTGAGTTACTTTTTCTCAGGCTTGACCTCTTGCAGAACTTTTCCCTCTTAAATAAAGAAGCTCTGCATTCAACAACACACTTTATAACCTTCATTTACTTTTTTAAAATCACATAAAGTAATAAAAATTTATGATATTATCTTCTGAGAACTTCCAGACCCCAGAGCTACACAGACATAAATAAATAAATAAATAAATAAATAAATATATATATATATATATATATATATATATATATATATATATATATATATATATATATATATATATATATATATATTATTAAAGTCTAACACAGTGTTTTTGCTACATTTGCACTTTATTTTTTTTAGTCAAGTAAAATCCCTGTCCACTGTCCATCCCTGTTTCATCAATGCATTTAAATTAATAAAAATACTTGCAGTATCTATCTTTGTTTCTGTCTTTTTCCAGGGAAGCACATTCTCTTATTAAGTGCATGATTTAATGTGATAACATCAATTTAAAGTTGCCGATTTATTTTTTAAAACCTAATTAATTAAACTAAAAACTAACTCGCATTAAAAAACTCTAAATACTTTTTTTTTTAAAGTGATGCATTATTTTACTCATTACTTAGAAAAGTAATATTAATATTGCTCTAATATTACTATTGCTCATAAAATGCATTTGAAAAAGCTGTAAATTGTACAAATAGTGACTAAAAATTACAACAAATGCAATAAAATCAATAAGTTTTTCATTTTAATTTTAACTTTATTTTAATAGAACAAGTAGTTCCTTTAAAAATAATAATATAAACATAATAAGAATAATTGTAACAATAATTAACAATATTAATTATTATAATGATATTTAATAACTTAAAATTTGTTGGCTTGATGAATCTTTTCAGTGAAAATGTAGGTTTATGAGCCATAAAGAAATTCTAAAAAAAAAAAACATATATATATATATATATATATATATATATATATATATATATATATATATATATATATATATATATATATAAAAATTTATTGTGCATATACACCTACAGCATCATATGGGAACAAAATGTTAATTTTAGGCCCAGTTTAAAATTTCTAAATTATAGTAAAATAAAATCCGTTTCATGTTGAAAATGTCCTGTTTTACAACACGCTTTCATGCAATGCATAAATTTAGAGTTTCCACTTGAACCACATATTTATAATGTTGAATACTTTCATGTTTGTGGTGTGAAACAGGAACAATTTTAACAAAACTCCAGCAAGACTGACCAATCGGATCACAATCAATAATTATGCATGTTTGCTGCCTTTTCACATTACCTCCCGAGCTTTCTGAGCTGCGAGCTCTGCGTGTCTCTGTCTCTCGAGCTCCTCCAGCAACTGCTTCTCCATGATGCGCTTGGCCTCCTCCACCCGTCGCAACACTTCTCTTTCAATCTCATCCTTTCGCTTTTCAAGTTCCTCCTCCACACGTTTGGCTACAAGTTCCTCAACGCGCCGCGCTGTCTCCTCCTCAATCAGCCGCTCCTCGATCTCCTGCTGTCGACTAAGATTCAACACAGAGCTTTCACTCATTATGCTATCAGAAACTGCCCACAGGATAAATCGCTTGTGTATAATTTTAGGGTATGTTCACACTTGGCAGTTTACATTTGATTAAAACAACTACTCTGTTAGTATGGTTTATTTGAATAAGTATACACACTAATAACTGAATCCCAGTGCACAAAAAAAAAATACATATACTATCTATCTATCTAAAATACATACTATCTTACAAGATTTAATCACATTTTTATTTATGCAAATTCTAATGCTTACCTTACAATGAACTTTATTGTATTTTATATACAGGCTTTATACACATTTTTACTTCTATAATTCCATGATTTTTTCAAGATTTTCAAGTAAATTTTCATGACCTAATGTTTCATGCAATGCCTTTATATATGTGGCAAAAGAAAAACAATGTGTGTTCAAATTTATTACAGCATATCGGAAAACACACAACAATCTATTTAGTTTAAATTTATATTTCACATATTTAATCGCTTTTCAGCTTAGTCTCTTTATTAATCTGGGGTCGCAAAAGTCGAATGAACCGCCAACTTATCCAGCATATGTTTTGCACAGCGGATGCCTTTCCAGCTGCAACCCATCACAGGGAAACATCCATACACATTCACTTACACAAAAACAAAACGGTCAGTTTATCTTACCAATTCACCTATAGCACATATCTTTGGACCGTGAGGGAAAACGAGCAACCAGAGGAAACCCACGCGAACATGGGGAGAACATGCAAAGTCCACACAGAAAAGCCAACTGACCCAGCCGAGGCTCGAACCAGCAACTTACTTGTTGTGAGGCAATTATTCTACCCACTGCACTATATTCAAGTATACAGATATCTTTTTTACATTAATTTTCAAAAACTTTGTGGGGTTTGTTTTTTCAGTTTTTCCAAAACTTTTCCAGGCCAGGAAAATGCCATGTCAAAATACCATGACTTGTCCAGGTTTCCCATGACTGTATGAGCCCTGTATATAGTTCTACAATCATAAATGCAAATAATTATATTGCAAACACATTTTTTTTGTATTTACATAAAATTATTAAAAAATATTTACTTTTAATTTCACATTCACTTATTAAAAAATAACTACTTGAAACAAAAATGAAGAAAGCAGAAGGAAATAATTTATTTGAATGGTTAAGCCTGACATGTTTACTCCTCCAAATCTTATACCAGTCCATGCCTATTTGACACGTGGACTTAAAATAGAGCCTCATAAATATCACTGTACTAAAATTCGTACATTAAAGAGACAATTCTCCCAAATTGTTATACTTATACATTACTCACTCCCAGTCAACAAAATAAAGATATTTTGGAAAAATCTAAAAAACACAGACATTTAAAGTAGGGTAAAACACTGAGGTTGGTTTTATATTCCCACACTCATAACTAATATAATTTCAAAAAAGTATTCTCTGCAAATGTTAAATAGAGAAATCATATTAGTAGCCAATGACTATCAAATTACAACCCTGTTTAAATAGTGCTAATGCTGACTTTATGTCATCCTTACACGCCATTTAGACCGAATATTCACAGTACAGTTATAGGGGCCACAAGTTGTCACTGTTCAGAATTTAACGAATGTCTGAATATAAAACCAAATTTACCTCAATTAAAAAACAAATACAATGGAAGCCAATGTTTAGTTTTACATCTTTCTTCAAAGTATCTTCTATTGTGTCCAACAGAAGTAAGAAACTCACAAAGGATTTGAAACGAGTGAAGGAGTAAATGATGACTGAATTTAGATCTTTGAGTGAACTATCTGACATGGATCGAAGAACAATTGATTAAGGTAAAGTTGGTTTTATATTCACACATTCATTTAGTGACAACTTTTAACATGCTCATATATTGTGTACTGTACTTTGAATATTTGGTCTGAAACCACATGCGTGTTCGACTTGAAAACATTAACACTATTGACTATGAACAATGTTACTTTGATAGCCATTAGCTGCTAATATGATTTCACTACTTGGAATTTGCAAAGCATACTTTTCTGAAATTATATTAAGGAAAACGTCCAAATGTTTGAATATGAAACGATTTTTACCCCAATGTGAAATGGTACTTAAACAGTAACTTTTAAAGGCTGTAAGACTGAGGTGTTGTTTACTGTAACGTTACATTGGTAACAGATTTATTTGATGAGAGAGCAGGTCGGCTACTCACATTCTCCTCTGTCTTTCCATTTCGACTTTCTTCTCCTCCTCTTCTTTCTTCTGCTTTTCATCCACAGCGCTCCTCTTGCTCAGCGCCCTGCCGAAAATGTCGATCCTCTCTGGCGGAGATGCGGCTCTCTCTCGGTCCCGCCGAGACGTGGCCGTGTTTGATCTGGACCGGGAGCGCGACTCTCTCCTGCGGTTCCTTTTGGACTCTCGCGACTTGGAGCGCCTCTTCCTCTCCCTGTCCCGGGATCTCGATCGAGATCTGCTTCGCTTTTTGCTGTGCTTACTGGTTTTGGAGTGCTTGGAGCGGGAAGAGCTGCGGCTCCTCGAGCGACCCATTTCAGACGCCGGTTGAGTTGCAGAAGCCAGGAGACTGAACACCACTAAAGCATCGGACTGACGAACACACACACCTGCTAGACCTTCACACTAACCCCAAATCGCACATTTAAGGAATCAGCGCAGACTGCATGACAATAATCTCGAAGGCGGAACTCTTATTTGGAAGTAAATGGTTTAATAACAATGGTATTTTATCTGCAGCATACAATTTATCTTGTATAGTTAAAAAGCAAGATGGAGGATGGCTGATCTCAGATCCCAGCATGCAATTCCTTGTTTTTCTTTTGTTGTGAGGATCGAGGCTTGGCCACATAGATGATTGCCATCATGTGGCGTGGAGAGCAAACGAGTGAATTGTTTGGAGTTCATTCAATGAACCGATTTGCAACCGAGTCATCACTCTTATTTCACTCTTGCATAACAAAGCTCTAATTTGAAAATGAAATGTAGCCACATTTTATCATTTTTGTAAATTAGCCTTTAATGTTTTTAGATTATTTTAAAATCCCATTTAAGTTAACTGGTCATTAGCTAAAATGTACAAAAACATTTATGATGGATTTCTTATATTGTTCCCCTACATAATGTTAACGTTTACTATTAAATAGAATTAAAATGTGTCATATCATACAAAAATAACTTCATGTATTTTGAATATATATTCACGAAAATGCATAAATCAAAAATCTGGAGCAAGTTGGCATCAATAGCCTAGTGGTTATAAGTGCGGCGACATATAGCACCATGGTGCTCATGGCAACCCTAGTTCGATTCCCAGCTCAAGGTCCTTTGCCAACCCTTCCCCTCTCTCTGCTCGAAATACTTTCCTGTCTGTAACCTCCACTGTCTTATATCAAATAAACGTGAAAAACCCCTAAAAACAGTTTGGAGCAGCCGCTTTTCCTGGGCTGGGTTGCAGGGGCAGCAGTTTTAGGAGAGAAACCCACACTTTCCTCTCCCCAGACAGCTCCTTTGGGGGGATCCCGAGGCGTTCCCAGGTCAGTCAAAATAGTCCCTCCAGCGTGTGCTGGGTCTTCCACGAGGCCTCTTCCCGGTGGGACATGCCTGGGACACTTCCCTAGGTAGGCGTCCAGGAGGCAACCGAAACAGATGCCCGAGCCACCTCTTCTCCCGATGTGGAGGAACAGTGGCTCTTCTCCGAGCTCCTCCTGGATGTCAGAGCTCCTGACCCTATCCATAAGAGAGCACCCTGCCACCCTTCGAAAGAAACTCATTTCGGCCACTTGTATCTGAGATCTTGTCCTTTTAGTCATGACCCAAAACTCATGGCCATAGGTGTCGTAGGAATGTATTGATCCGTAAATCGAGAGCCTTGCCTTCCGGCTCAGCTCCTTTAACACAACGGTCAGATGCAACGACCGCATTACTGCTGCTGCTATACCAGTCCGCCTGTCAATCTCACGTTCCATCCTTCCCTCACTCGTAAACAAAACCCCGAGATTCTTGAACTCATCCGCCTGGGGTAAGAACTTTCCTCCAACCTGGAGATGGCAAAGCACCTTTTTCCGGTGGAGCTCCATGGCCTCGGACTTGGAGATGCTGATTCTCATCCCAGCCGTGTCACACTCTGTAGCAAACCAATAATTACTGTTTCAAAGCAGCTTTACAAAAGGTGATGTCTATATGTACATATTTAATGAAGTGTATGAAATTAAGTGCAACATTGAAAAGCTTAGTCTTTGTCAAAATTATATAAAACCACCACGACACCTGCTGGTAAAAAAACATCTACAGCAACTCAATGCAAAATACTGCAAGGCCAGGTTTACGTCATCTAACTCCGCCTAAAAACTACGTCAGCATGCGAAAATTTGTAAACTCAGCAGAAGTATAAGATTACTTCACAAAATTTACCCTTGCAAGGTAGTGTTATCTAAATTTATGGATGTTGACAATACTTGCGCATTTTGTAATATGTAGACTTATCTAATGTTTTCTTTTTTGTGATGGTGTTCTTAAATTTTGGTATGATGTTAGTGACATGTAATTTAGGCAAAAAAAAGAGTTAATAACAGGCTCTCTTTAAAAGATGTCATTTGCTTTTTCAAACACACACACACACACACACACACACACACACACACACACACACACACACACACACACACACACACACACACACACAAACATTCGAGTTTGTTTACATCTTACAAGGTAAATATTTTATTTATTAACAGAAGTTCGCGAAGTGTATACCAAATTGCAATTTATTTTTTAGTAGAAATGGAAACTTTGAAAAAGTCTCTAATGCAAATTAATAACAAAAATAATGACATGATGTTACATTTCATGGAGGATTTGTTTCTGGTATAGGCCTACTGATCCTCTGCTGTAAAAAAAATAAATAAAAAACAGTAGTATAAGATGAAAGGATGGAGAAACCACGAAACCCAAACGTTAAGTTTCATCTGTAAAATACCAGTCCATGGTAAAAAAAAAACTTGCAGCGACAAGTTTTGACAGCGTTAGAAATAGTAGGTATTGGCTTAATCTTTGGTTTAGTATGCTACTCTTATGTCTTATATGCCACTTTTTTCCCATTTCAATGTTGGTACGATGTGTAGTCTAGCCTACATGAAATATATATAAACAATTTCTAACGTCAAAACTCGTGTGGACATAATTTATTTACCACAAGATGGCAGCCAAGGAACGCCAAATAGTTGAATGAGAGTTTTCGGACATTTGGGAAATGGGTTGGAACCTTTCCACTGCTTTTTTTGTGTGTCCCAGCCTAAATTATTTTCTTATGATAATATTCGTCGCCGTGGAGCGTTCACAAAAGCCGAAAACCATTTGTAGTAGCAAAAACGCCCGTTCTTGTATTAATATTCGTAAGTACGTTAAATACGTAGTTTTAATAGATTTCTCCTTGTTGTGCACAGAGCATCCACTGGGAGGCGTTCAGTAATCGATGAATATAAAAACAAAAAAACTTTTGAGATCTAGATAGATCTCTATAGATCTCTAGATAGAAAAAAAAAAACTTTTAACTCACACAGCAGGCCTTCATGTGTTCAATGCGGTAGCTTTGGTTCACACTGGTTCACACACACATAGTTTAAAAATTAATCTATTAGCACGTTACATATATAGCTAATAATAATAATAATAATAATAATAATAATAATAATAATAATAATAATTACAATAATAATAGGCTAATAATAATAACAACAATAGATAAAAAAGATGAAAATTAGCCCAAGGATGTAATGACTCTTTTTGTGACTAAGACAACACTATATTTAGTTTTTCAAATTTGTATTAATTCAATGTAATTTTACTGAAGTGCAACGTGTCAAAACTCGTTAATAGTAACATTAATAATAGCGACATATTTGCTGATGTGAGCTAAAAAGGCACAGTTAATATTGTTTACATTTATTTAGCTTTAAGTGAACTATTGCCAAATGCACATCTATAAACTATGCTTTTTACTTTAACAATTAAAAGAACTGCAAAACTTCAAATTTAAATAAATGTCTTATACAGTATAAATTATTAGCACCCATGCTGCGCAGAGATTGATGACGAAGGCTTAAAAAACAAAACGATCTTACAACTTTCAAGGAGCTCTCCTGAAGCTATTTCCATGAAAGTCTTATTATAAACCTATCCAGAACTGTTTACAAAGTTGCATGCAGTCAACATCTTATAACACACATTTGTTTCCCCCAAATGAATAGGATAAGCTGTTTCGTTAAGGGGTGGTCTGATTTTGTTGCTTTGACTTGGCGGCAGGTGCAATGACCTTCTATGACTATTGTCTTCTGGCTTTAAAAAAATATGAGATAACGGGAAATGCTTCTCTTATTTTCTTCGAGAAATACACGTCCAAGTAGGCTACAGCATCCCCCTAAGTGGTTTCTACGCGTTAATTGAAATAGTAAATGCGACTGGCAGCGTTTCACATTGATTTATTTTTCACGACAAGGCTTAGTTATTCTTGTAGGCAGCGGTGGATGTTTCATACTTTAATGAAAGCAATTATGATATTAACTAATTGGCAGAAACAATTCTGAAAAGCACAACTAAGGCAATCCATAAACACCTGGGACGAAAATTTGCTGACAAATTTTAAATATGAGCGTAATTTTAATAATAATTATTGATATTTTAACTTACCTGATATTGTGCTTTTTCATGTGCATTTTTATAATCAGTGTCGTACGCGTTTCGTTTTTATACATTATCTAGCCTATTGTTTATGCACCAGCATCCAATTGTATTGTAAGATTAGTATGAGCGACTTTCATTGCAACAGAGCAATTCAAGACCAGACAATATTTCAACCTGTCCATAATGAAATTAAAATAGTTACAACTTCGATTTTTACATGATTTTTGAGACATTTAGAGAAGGGCGTGTGTATTACATTCAATAATACGAGGTACGGCCCGTTGGCACATTCATCATCCCATTACTGTACCCAATCCAGGTCCGATACGTGAAGGGTAAAATGAATTACCGACGTTAAGTCGTCAATAAAGTCATTTCAGTAAATGGTGTCTCAGATGACTCCGGCATTATTCAACGGGCTTTATCAGCACTGGGGAAATTACGTTGCCTCTACACCTCGTGTAATACGGCCCTGCTTACCTTGATAAAGCGCCCTGCCAGCGGGTAGTGACAGTGCTTTTGACCGGCTTTTATTCACTCGCTAGTGATGAACGCCAAGCTGATCAGGCGGAATGGGCGCTAATTAAAACCTATAAATTATCTTTTGCAGTCCCTCTCAAGACGTCGCATGCAGCCGAGATAAGAGCTGGAGTGCTAATTTACCGCCTGAAAAGGAGCGTGGCTCACAATGGCTACTTGGCTCAAATAGCATATTGATAGTGTCCTAATTAGAAATTTATTAAGTACCCACTCGAGCTTTTCGAATAAAGATTTCAACCCAACCTGTTTTATATGAATAAATGCTGCATGTACTAAAATTCCATGTTTGCGCTAATTATTATTCTAAGTGTTTTGTGAGTGGTCCTTCTTCATTTTTGGCGTAACGTTAGAAAGTCTATTATTTTGCATAATTGGCGAAAAGGAGCTTGAATCCTTACTTAAGATTTCAAAGAATTTACTTGTTATTAACACGTCCCGCTTTGCTAATGGGATTTCTTTTGATGATGCCCATCCGTTTGTAAATCATTTTTCAGGTGTCCTTCCATGAAAGCATTCTGTTAAACGGTGTGTTGTCCTTTGTTTTACACATTGCACAAATGCAACCTGAATGAGGTTAAATTG